TGTTAGTACATGAGGTAGAAGTGAATACATGAATGATAGTAGTGGAAATGGTTTAATTAATCAATAAAATATAAACTTAATAGGTACAAATAAAGTAATATTATTGTACATCTGCTTATATCTGGCAGTAATTACAAGCTACTGAAGCTCATATCTTTGCCAAAGTTGCTAAATATATATACGAGTCAAATAATGTCCTATTGATTGTTATTTAATTWATAATAATATAATAATAATGTTTAATCCCAATTTAAACATTAGTACAACCCCCCCCCATCCCAAACTTGAGAAAAACAATTTTCTCTTGGTGGTACCGGTGTTACTGTTATACCAGTACCACCATCGGCTTGTATTGGTCCTAATAATTCCTAACTGATTCCCATAATTGTAGTTATTGTTACGACTCCTATAATTATTACATTATGATTAAATCTGTACTGAAGTAATTTTTTGAGTGATGAATACATACATATGTTTAAAATTTAAATTAGGATTACTAATCATTACAAATGAAATAACAATCAATAGGATATTTTTTACGTTATAAATATATATATTATATATTTTGGTGGTACTGAGGTAACAATCTTCATGTCTACCAGACGCTGAGTACAGAAAGCACTGTGTGCCCTCTACTTTTGTTTATGTATTCATTGCTACACTACCGATAATAATTAGGTATCCAAGAAACCTATGATATAGAATACAGTAGGTGAGCGTGAGGGTATAATGTTAAATAGTATGCTGTCTGCTATAAAATATTCACTATTCACTTCAATAACATATTATTACATTTTAATAGTTTAAATACCAATAAACAATAAATAATTAATACTAAATAGTACAAAGGTACTACATTATACCATACCTTACCTTGCATGCTTGGTGAATCACTATGTATACACAATTTTTGAGTTTTTGAGGTAAGGTCAACAATTAAGCATAATACATTTATTAATTCCAAAATAACCCAAATACTTTACTTTTATATATACCTTTATTATAGAGATAGACTTTAATCTATATCACATAAAACACAACACCACTGAAATGTGTTCATTGTTTAAATAATTTTAAAATTTATTGCAGACGGTTGTAAATTCTWGTAAAATATTTGAATAAAATTAGATTTATTACAGTGAAGGCCACCAGAGACTGCTGTAGCAGGCATGATCCCCCTGAAAATCAGCTGGTGATTTTGATGTTATAGGGTAATTATATATTTAATAATAACAAAATTTCAAATAGCATGCATATAAATTATAAATACACCTATATAAAAATCAAATTATTAAACAACATAATAATTGTGTGTAAGCAAATAAAAAATGACATATTACCTATATAAAATGCCCCCCCCCCACAAAAAAAATTAGTAAAATAAAATCCTAGCGGTTAGCACAATTTATATTTGATTTCTAATTAAGTTTCTAACTTCACTTAGTGCTAAACTGCTATAATACAAAATTGTTGCTTATAAATCAAAAATTTGTAGCTCTATTTTATGAAAAAATAAATGAGGATATATTTTGAAAATTATCTATAAAAATAGAATTATTCCATTATAGTACATATTAAACAGAATTCAGTATTTTTATATTCTTATTAGGAAAAGAAAAACTGAAATGTTTCATACATTTTTAATACCTACTATATTTATAATATAGTTTTTACTGGGCTATAATCCACTAAATACGCTTACTTTCATGTAGGTACCTATTAAAATTCTGATTTTTGGAACTTTTAGCTATATCTACTAACATACTCAAACTTCAAAGCCTTAAAGCCCATATTTTGAAAGTAGTAAATTTCTTTTCGTACTCCTTAAGAGTAATACTAACTTCTGTTTTTCAAAAGAGAACCTCTCCTTTTTATTGTAGATTATTTAGTGGATAGGTACAAACTTTTTTGAAAATGTTTATGTTTCTAACACATAATTCAAACGAGTAGGTAGTTCTTCAGTTGTTAAATTGTTTACCTATAAATTATATTAAAGATAACAATCCTTAAAAATGGTTTTACGAAAATACAAAATATATGTAAGTATTATTGTAATATTGAATCTAGTAGTTATTTATCATTACCTATCATACTTAGGCACCTAGACATTGTTTACATCTTATACATTTTGATCGCTTAATATTAATTAATAATTATTAATATTTTTAAATCACTTTAGCATCATTCACATTTCCATCATATCTTCCAAATCYCTTACCATGGACCTAATATTATATTAGATATTGGTGCACAGGAATATTGAATTTGATCATTTGAAAAACAAAAGTTTATACTTGTCTCCTTAGACTCAGTTATAAATTTAATTAGAACTAATTTTTGTTTCTATAGGTAGCTACCTAACAGTTTTAATCGTACTTTTATTCTGTAGGATTTTCAACRAGATTTTTTTCGGAATACCGACACATTTGTACTAGACACCTATTATAATTGTGTGTATCTTTATACTTTATAGTTAGGTATTGTAATTAAAATATGATTAGGTTTAAGTGGTTTGACGAATGGATTATTAAGTTCTTTAATAAAATCAATTTTTCCATATTATTGTGGTTGCCTACATTTTTAATAGTTTCATAATTATTTATTTTTAAAATAATTTGATAGTACCTAGTAATTATTATTATTTTGATTAACTATAACATTATCAACTATAAATCTATAAATTGGATATAATTTTGTAAAAGTATATTTTTTTTAAATAAGATTACCTATTTTTTATAAATAATATAGCGGTACACTAGTTGATACCCACCTATTCTACTCTTCTACCTACTAAAATATTTTTATTTATTAAATTATCATTTACTAAACAATAATAGATTGAAAAATATTATATTTATTTATATTTTTTTCCTGGTTAGAACCGACAGCAGAGAAGGATCTGTTTGCACAATACTACTCCTCTGCTGCCATCGTTTATTGATGAATAACGTTAAAATATTAAATCACCATATTTATTATTTATATATTTAAACAAACTAAGTAGGTGCCCATAAAGTCGAGTTATATGTATATCCGTGGACATTTTTACAGATTATATAGGTATACATCTATATTATTTAAATAATTAAAATGGTTTTCTACCAATACCACATAAGTTGGCATTTGTTGATATCTTGCAATTAATTAATATATTATATTATAATATGTACTCGTCTACGTTTTAGCAGATACGGGTATTAATGTATATGTTACTGTATCTGACCTAATAAACACTTACACGAGTAGGTACACGACCATTTTATTTTTTTAAATGCTTCCATAGTCTGTGTAGTGTTTATACTTTTTCATGAATAAAATAAGTACACTTATATATAACCGAAAATACTAATTAATTTACGAATTAGCACCGGACACCGGTGTTTAACACTGCAGAATAATATATAGGTACAACAATCATATATTTATCATATTGATGATTTATATAGGTAGGCAAATAGCGGTTATATTGTATAATACATATATATATAGGTGTATAGATACTATAGATGGGTAAAGCCGATGAATAAAACAATAGGTAGGTATAGGTACCGTACATATCTATATTTTAAATAATAATATATGTATTATTGTTATCTCAGACAAAACAATTATTAGCTACAGCTAATAATTGTTACAGCTGAGTACAAACATTATCATATTGCAGATTTATCATACAACGAAATTATGATTGATTTATCGTGTACATATCTATATGTGTCATCCTATATAAATGATATGAGTACCTAGTAAATTATGATATCCGTCGCAAATATCTATAACTACCTATATAATATAGTATTATTACAATGTTTGGGGATTATTCGATGAAGTGAAGAGTATATGGCAGAAAATGTAAAAAGTACGACTAGCTACCTTCCACCTACGATTTACACTGCTCATCAAGTGTGGGTATATTTTTCACGTACAGTATCTATAGTATTATATAGACAACGATGTCGGTGAAAGAGGGAGGCAGCTCCTCGTCGTCGTATCCGGACACGCGGCGGCTGCGCATTGACCTAGAAAGTAGAAATGGCATCGGCACACACG